GTATCTAAAAACAGTGAAGCTGGCTGAGAGACCAACATTGGTATCTAGGATTGAGCAGGAAAGGTTCAGCTAAATCAACACCTGAGGGGTGACTAAATATTTAATTATTTGTAATAAAAACAGAAGTCATCAAATTTCAACAAGGGAAGCCATACTTTTTGAATTACAACATGTAGTAATTAGTTTACTTTGGAATAGTAAACATCAGAGCATTAACATACTTTAGTAAACTTCCATTGAGAATTGAAGACGGTAATTCATTCATTGCTGATGACTTGCATCTATCAACTGAGACTCATTTTGTGCCTTTCAGCGTGCATCATGAGCATAGATTTGGTTAGCATCAAAAGCACTGTATTTAGTAAATGTTCATCTCAACATCCTGATTTCCTTCTTTTTCTTTTCTCTTTGTCTCCTGCTTGCCAGCTTTCTACACAGAAATCTGTTCCCTGGAGACCTATGCTGGGGTCCCTTCCGCTCTGGGCTATTGTTGTGGCACACTTCTCTTACAACTGGACTTTCTATACACTGCTTACACTCTTGCCCACATACATGAAGGAGATCCTGCGATTTGATGCACAAGAGGTGAGATGCACACAAATATAGTGATTTTCTTCTGAATTAAAGAAACTAAATCACCTGCTGTTTAGAATGGAGGCAGCTGTTTAAGAACCTTGGAATGTAAAGATATAGCTGGAAAATGATAACCCCACACAATTAAGCAGACGCATCAAAAATGTTTCCTGTCTTATAATTTCCACTTTATGGACTTATTTGACATTTACCTTAGTGGTAGCTTGCAAGTTAAGTTTTCTGTTTGAAGATGCATAGTACCCATCTTGACCTGCTCTGCTTTAAAACAGTAACTATAAAATTTTTTTCCCTTTTATATGGCTTCAATGATTATTTCAGATTTTACACCAAGTTTTATGGCTTCTGAAATAGTATCTACTTCTTTGCTAATTGATAAAGGAGAACATTTCCAGTTAAAAATAAAACTAAGAAAACCATTAGACAAGTGGCATTTTTGAAACTATTTTAAGGATGGCGTTTGGGGGAGGAAGGGACCAGAGGGAAGCTTCATTCTGATAGGATCACTTTCCAGATTGTCAATTTCTTTCCTCAATGAGCAGCAGAAGTAAAATATGTTTTCTTACTAAGTTAACTGGATGAAACAAAACCATAGTCTTAAGGTCCAGATATAGTGCTTTTCAAGGAAATTTTATAAAATGAAATTATTTATCAGGGAAAAATTAGGGGATGGGGAAGGTGGAGTATTCTTATTTACAGCAATTACTTGACTGTACTGATCTGTCTTTAATAAATCAGTTTTGGTGATGGCATAGCTTAACTGGATATACTGGTATAACTAAGATAAAAAGGTGCTCAATTTAACATAGTCTTTTCCTGGCTTAGCAAACCAAACTAGTTTAGAGCAATCTGAGGTTGAATGCCATGCAAGAAAAAGGTGATACCAGCAATCTTGCGATGAGAAGATGGGGAACTTAAGCATTAGAACAGAAGGTTGCATTAGGGCAAGCTGCTGGAAAATACTAACTGAAGTTGCTGGTTGGTCTCCTCATTATGCCTCTTGAGGTATTCCCTGAAGAGGCATCGATATCTGTGAAAGTCATTTGCTACCACAGCTCTCAGTTGCATGTGTTTTGTAAAACACCATTGCATTAAATGGTAACAGGTTCTGCTGTGAAGTGGTTTCCTTTGTGTCTGGGTTACATTTTTTCTTTTTGGAGTAGGTTAGAATACTGACTGTTGTGAACATCAGAAAAAAAAAGCTTCTGTAATAGTGTTGGACTAACTTGCCACACATTTAGATGGAAACTGCATTACCATTTAAAATACTTTACAGTTGTTGCTGTTTAGTTTCCTTTCTAAAATACAGAAATTAGTTTAAAATAATGCCGTGTCTTTGAATAGTGCTTCAAAAAAGTTTTTTAATTACTGAGACTGCCTCTATTTTTTTAAATTTTACTTACTGTTTTTGAAAACTGAGCACTGAACTCCAACAGGCAGCATGCTTAAGTACTGGTAGAATGGACTTAAGGTGGGGATGACTTTTTTGTTTCATTTCAATTTAAAATTCCTAGGGAATTTTTCACTTCTTGACAAATATACATTTTATACTAGTGTATAAAGGTCATACTATTGCTACTTAAATACCCCTTTTGAATAACAGCTAAGGTCAAATTATAGCTCTGTTATCAGTAACTATCCATAATTTTTTGGAAAGGCTGTAAATGTGGGCAGTTTAGTAGTACCTTTTGTTTCCCTTCATCAGAAAATGATGGAATCAGGCAGAGGTCTAAGCAGCACATGTTTAAAATAATGGGAATTAACTGGTGATTTCAGTGTAAGTAATATCAGATCCTGAATAACTCAGCTTTGAGACTGTGGGATGTCCAGCCTAGATGTGATGAAAAGTCATGTTCTAGATTTTGTTTCCATTTACAGGCAGCACCAGATAGTTCAGCAGATGGATAAGGAATAATGTTATGTAACAGTAGTACAAAACCCAGAGATTCTGTGTAGTTTTCAAAATTCTGAATAATATTTACAGCTTCCACTTATTTTAGTAACTCACTTGATATTGGTATTCTGAAAACTTCCACAATCAGGTTAACATCCACAGGATATTATAGTTATAGTTTTGTTCTTCCTGAAGCTAGTTGCTGATCTAAACATTTGAGTTTTTGGTCTGACTGCATCTGTAGTTATGGATTAAGTCAGGATGGTTTGTCATTTTGGTGTTTTAACTGTCTTCTTTTAACCTTCTTAACAGAATGGATTTTTGTCTGCCCTGCCTTATTTTGGCTGCTGGTTATGTATAATTTTGTCTGGCCAAATTGCTGATTATTTACGGGAAAAACAGAACTTCTCCACTGTTTGTGTTCGCAAATGTTTTACCCTCATAGGTAGGTGCAAGTATCATCTTTTGGAACATATAATCTTATGAAATATAACAATATCCATTTGGGAAAATCTAAGGGCTTGGGGGAGTAGTCTGACATTCTGCTGTAAGATGAGGCAGCATTGTGCATGTCTTGAGAGGAGCAACTTTATTTGTACATTCATATGTCAGGAGTAAATCCTATCTTTTTTCCATGAGAAGTAGGCCTACTGGATAAGAGAACAATAAGAGATTATCAAAAGCTTTTTTTTGGTCAAGATAATTGGACTAAAAGCAAACAAATCAAATCAATGGTCATGTAAAGTCACCACACAAGGGTGAATTAAACATTGTTATCAAAAAAGATGTATCAAACTGACAGGATTATTGTTCTGCATGAGCCTATTCTGTTGTTCAGTGTTTTGTTTATCTAAGACTAAAGTAATTGAATAGTTGTTACTTGCAAAATTTAGAGTTGCTACCACAGTAGAAAGACCAAACAGAATCCAAAATAATTGGGAGGAGACCAAAATAATTGGTCTTGACTAATTGGGAGGAGATATGATCTGAAATCACCAACAGGTCAGCCAGATCAGGCTTTTAATGAACCAAAGTAAAAGTCTGTATTTAGGAAAGAGAAGTTGATTGCTGAACAAAGAGGGGACAGGAGAAAGAAATTGAAGGGAAAAAAAAGGAAGATTAAGCACAGGATCCATAAAAGTTATTGTATGGTGATCATTGCTGCCTTCTCAATTCAGCTGATTCAATTGCTTTCTTTAAAGCAGCTCTTGTAATAAATTCTCAGACATTTAGTCTTTATGCTTATGCTATTTTGGTGATTCAATTTATTGCAGGACTGCACACCTCACACCCATGTATGCATAACTCAGGAGAAAAAATGTTTTTGTTTTAGGAAAAGCAGCACTTAGGTTGGCTTGATCAACAAAAGTGTGTACTTGCAACTGCTTGCAGAGGTCATGATGGGGGCCATGTAAATGGGCTCTGGTACCTGGAAACAGCTACCCAAGTTAACTGCAGATAGCAAACAGTGTGCATGAGCTCATGATGGCTGATGAGCTGTTTCCAGTGCATCATGCAGCATCTCTACAGCTGTCTTGGATTCACCCAGGGTTCACAGTTTTAGTGCAGCTTCAATTTATTTATAGCAATAAATAAAATCAATTTGTGAGGTAATTTTCAGAACATGTTGATTTTTGTTAATTTTTTTAATCTAGTTCCTTGCCACTAGAGTGGGATATTTCTGATCTAGTTGCTGTTTCCTGAGACAACAACTGTTTTGCAACCCATCTGCTCTTCCTTTTCACAAGGACATGTAGGGGGAATAGGACAAGGCAGAATGGCTTCAAACTAAGAGGGAGTAGATTTTAATTAGATAATAGGAAGAAATTCTTTACTGAGAGGGTGGTGAGGCACTGTAACAGGTCGGCCAGAGGAGTTGTGGCTGCCCCATCCCTGGAAGTGCTTAAGGCCAGGTTGGACGGGGCTTTGACCAAGCTGATCTAGTGGAAGATGTCCCTGCCTGTGGCAGGGGGGTTGGAGCTAGATGATCTTTAGGGCCCTTCCACCCTAAAGCGTTTGCGATGCCGCACGGTCCCGCTGCAGCGCGCGGCGCGGTGCCGGCTCTGTACGCCAGGGGGGGTGGAAGGCGTATGGAAACCAGCTTGGAGCCTCCAAGCGTCCCGGCGTTAAACACCCATTGATTCTGAGGTTTCTGTCCTGTATGGAAACCAGCTTGGAGCCTCCAAGCGTCCCGGCGTTAAACGCCCATTGATTCTGAGGTTTCTGTCCTGTATGGAAACCAGCTTGGAGCCTCCAAGCGTCCCGGCGTTAAACGCCCATTGATTCTGAGGTTTCTGTCCTGTATGGAAACCAGCTTGGAGCCTCCAAGCGTCCCGGCGTTAAACGCCCATTGATTCTGAGGTTTCTGTCCTGAAGGGATGATTGGACCTGCGGTGTTCTTAGTAGCAGCCGGGTTCATAGGCTGCAACTACGCACTGGCTGTTTCGTTCGTGACCATATCAACAACACTAGGAGGATTTTGTACATCAGGCTACAGCATCAACCATCTGGACATAGCACCTTCGTAAGTATTGCTGAAACTGTTGTTAGTGCATGTGAAATGTTTATGACCCCCTTTTTTTTTTCTTTCTTTGTTGCTGGGGTGCCTTGGAAATGTAGCTATGGAGCGTGTACAGGCCTGCAGTGTAAACACTGACAATTACTTGGGTTTACAATATTAATCACTGTATTTCCAAAAAGTGCAAGTTTTGCAGAGGATATGACATAAACAATATTTTAGAATAATTCCAGTTTAAATCCTGCAGTAATAAATTACATAATTTCTGTTGTTTAATTATAGACTTGATAGACTTTTGATTTATGTTTATACTAGGACAGTGTTTTTGAACTATACAATGCAATTAAGCGTTTCAACTTTTCCATCTGAGCTATCAAACTCTGGTATGAGCATTACCATATTTAAGCACTGTGATACAGGCAAATTATTTGCATTTGAAAAACATTCTGTACACTGGAATCTAAATCTTGTTACAAGTAGTTGACCTGATTTGTCAGTAGGTAACAAATCAGGTATGTACAATTGCTCTTAAATGACTAATTTTCAAGAATGGAAAGTTGAGACTTCAGGCTGTAATTTCTCCAGTGTGTTACAAATTCATAATTAGGCAGATCTATCCATTTCCCAAAAAGTGTGTGTGTATGTATATTCTTCTAAAAGGGCACTGGTAAGAGATAAGTACTTCGCTTTGTCATTCATTTACCAATTTGTGATATCACTTAGATGTGAACAGGGTCAAATGATTTTATGTCCAAAGAAAAGTGTGTTTCAGTATTAATGTGTAAAATGAAAAGACTAAGTGTAAGTGAGAGGAAAAAATATTTTGTAGAAGTAGCATCTAAAAAAATTTCTCATCATCTAGACAATTTATGAGAGACCTTGCATCCCAGCTGAAGATGGTATTCAGGCTTTGGCAATTGAAATTATGGTGCTCATATCCACAATCATGGACAATATTATTACTTAACAAATGGATATGAAATAGTGGGAATCCAGTTAATCTTGGCAGGTGAGGTTAGATAGTAAGCAAGAGGGGAGTCATCAGTAGCAGCTATAAACAGCTTGTAATGCTGAATTGAATATAAAAGCTAAGAAAAATAGCTTCTGTGGTGCACTTTGTTTTAAATCACATATAACTGTGAACTTAGAAAATGTACTTAAAGCAGTTCTTCTGGGGTGTTACAGGACCATTATACAACTTCTGTTTCAAGCTTAGTTTTGCAGAACTACAGCAGTTAGTTTCCAAAATAAGTATTAAATAGTGCTTGTTATGCGAGTACAGTTTAACCTGTCCATGGAATGCAATAGAGCTGTGACAGGAAAAAGGAAATCATGCAACTGCAGTGTGACTTACACATACAAGGAACTTCTGTATGCAGGCAATGGCTGAGGTTACCCAAATTAGGATGTTGTATGTGTCTTCTAATTTTAGATACTTCATTTTGCATTTCAAATATGTGTATTTCAAGACTCAATTTGTTTATAACAGTATTCAGAATATTTTAGGTGTTGAAAAAAAGCCACAAGAAGAAAATTATGTTACACAGTGCTGATGGCTGTCAGCAGGCATAGTTAGTTATCTCACATGAACTGCTGCTGATCCCTCTGACCAAATTCCACTCTGATCTTCCTGCCCTCCATAAAGTCCTGCTTTTTTCCTTTGTATTCGCACGAGACAAGTTCCTCTAGCTCTTCTCCCCTCTCAGGCAGGCAGAAGGGAGCGCACTGATTGCAAGACGCTAAGTGTCTTGCTGATCGTTCAGAGACTTTGGCCCAGCATTGCCTCTAGAGGCAAGCGGCTGCATATGGAAGGAAGACTTTCCTTGGTGGTTCCTTGGTCAGGGTGCGTGCTGTTTTATTGAAATCAGCGATTTTCTATTCAGCACATGCATGCTTTACTTCAGGGTAAATCTGTTCAAATGGGGATGGAGAAGGTAAAAAAGCACATCCTTGTAACAAAGGTCATATTAAAAAATTTATTCAGATACAGAAATGCAAAAAAATATCTGAGATGAGAAAAAAAAGACTGTCTTTTCTCCTCCCCTACAATTAATTTTTTGCAACTTGTCTGAACTTTGTTGGATAAAATGATCAAGGCAGAAATGAACAATTTCAAGGAAATGCTTGACATAATTGTAGAGATCTAAAAATAGAGTCTGCATAAAATTGTGAAGGAAACCTCAGTAAAGACTATACTTAGAGCTCAATATTTATTTTTCATAATTTACTGAATGAAAGACATTAGAAAAACCAGAAATTATTCAAAGCAATTTCAAAATGCACAAATACTCATTTAGATTGTTTGAAAGTGTGCTGCCAAGAATAGCAAATGGTCCCTTCTTGCTACTAAAACTTGTGTAATATCAACAAAATAATTATTATATTCACAGGAAGAAAGTGAATGAAAATACTGATGCTTATTTAACAATAGTATTTGCTATGTGGTTTTGGCTGATAACATGTATTTATTATGCCATTAGTGAATTAGACTGGGGATGGGTTGGGGACAGGAGGCAGACAAGATTGTTCTTTTGGGGAATATATATTACATTTTAGCTATTTAAATCGACATTAGTACTTTTCTATTATTACAGATTTTAATAGTGGTGTTACCATGATCCCTTGTAATATTCATGTGGCTCTGTTGTACACTAAATACTTAACATTGCTGGATTTTTTTACTCTTGATTATTTTACTATTTGACTGCTCTTGCAAGTTAAGTTGTATTTAGTTATCCCTACTATGCCATAAGAACCTGACCAACAGCCTACTATTGGTTCTGGTCTATAGACATGTCACTTTTTGCTTTCCCTTTTCATGTGGGAGTTTCCACTGCGCTAAGGGAGTGCCGTCACAGTTATCTGCATCAAACAGCGAGCACTATCAAGAATGCAACCTATGTCAGAAACACTGGGCATAAATAGAGGCATTTAGCCAGCAATTGGTTGCCAAATATCTTTGTTGACCAGAGAAACTATTAAGCTGTGTTTAGTTTTAAAAGTGTCTGTTAGCAGTATCATAGTGCTTAAACACATTGAAGACATTTAAAGTGCATTTGGTTCTACTTAAAGGATTTAAACAGGGTTTTGCTTTATGTGCTTATTTTCCTAAGGGAAAATTTTACACTTTGACATTCAGCTTCATAAAGGCCTATTAATGCTAAACCACTTTCCAAGATAAGAAGACTGCATGCTAGGTTTATAAAAAATAAAGAAGTTTTAACTAAAGCATTGCCATGCTTTAAACTGATAAGTAGTGTAGAGTTTCAAGAAAAAAATCAACTAGTAGGCTAGATGATTGTTTCCCTTTCTCAGGAAAAAAAAAAAACCACATGTTTTTCTAATACCACTGGAATGAATATTGCAATCTTTTGTAACAATGCTGTATGGTTGAATTCTCCTGTTTTGGTGAAGAAAATTCCAAAGCTATGCATTTCTCTTTAGAGATTAAATATGTTTCTGTTATGTTAATATTGGTGAGGACATAAATTTACTCTGAACAGCCTAAAATGATCACTGGGATATGATTCCTTTTTCTTACTGTAAACTGTAACTATTAGTATTTTGTATGATGCTTCACCCAACAAATTCACCTAAAATCTAAAACAGGGATCTGTGGCCTGGTGGTTAGAAGGTCAAACTTCTGGGGAATATCTGGCTCTTAGTTCTCTTCAGTCTCTCTCACAAGTCTGCACTTGTGGAACAGTTTCAAACTTTCGGTATTGCAACATGCCTGTGAGAGAGGTCTTGAATTGCTTAGAGGTGCTGAGACTCAGATATTAAGTAAGTTACCAGCTTTTCCCAGCAAGTTTTTATGGCCGCTGGTGCATACGCATACATTTGTGTGTGAGAGAGCAGCACGTTCATGGAACAGGAGCCCTCAGAATAGAGCTGCAGGAACTACAACCAGCAGAACTGGTTTAGTCAGATCCATTTCCCATTGGCCTTGACCCACAGAAAGCTGAAGGGAAGGACTGCCACAGCACTCTGAACTCCTGTCTTCGGAATATACACTTCGTAATGTAAGTGGGGATATCCAGGCACACTGCTGATATGGCTTACTTGGCAAATAAATTTTTAGCAATGAAACCTGAACTGACTCTTGCTGATGGCAAACAGCACTTGTTCATACTTCTTGTTCTGCTTCAAGACATGCAGTATGTCCTTAACTGCTCCAATGGATCCATTGCAGACAGTTTGGTTGTGGCTTAGCAAAGGGGATGTGGGTTTGGATTATGGATCTTGAGCAAAGCCATAGGCAATTTAAGTTAAATTCCATAACTAGCCTATGCAAAATAAAGACATGCAGTGTTAAGTGGAAAAGGATCTTTTAAGAAGATCCTTTAAGTAGAAAAGGATCTTTAAGATCATCACACCCAACCATTAACCTAACACTGCCAATTCCACCACTAAACTATGTCCATTAAAATGTATGTGCCAAGCTGTCAGTTGTTATTAGAAGAAAAGCAAGTCATTCACACTGGAATATTTGTGTTTTAATTTCTCTTGTGTGATCAAGACTAAGTTAGCCAAATTGTTTCCATGATTGATAAGACTTACAAGTTAATAAGCAGTGTTAACAACTTCTCTTGCAGGTATGCTGGAATTCTCCTTGGGATCACAAATTCTTTTGCTACTATCCCAGGAATGGTGGGGCCAGTTATTGCCAAAAATCTCACTCATAATGTGAGTCTTTTTTTTTTTTTTTTTTCAGTTGTTACATTTTTATCTCAGTTGAATAGAAATTCCCTCTTCTCAAATCTCCAGTCCATAAATAAAACATTTACAGGGTTACACCTGTAAATGTTGTTCCATTGTTGTGCATTAGTTAATTCCTAGCTCTTATTGTCCCAATTCTGACCAGGAAAATAAGGGTAAAATCCAAGACCTTTGTAAGACTTGAAAATTTTACTGACCCCTTATATTCTCTAGGAATAAAATTAATATATTTTTATTACAGTAGATAAAATGCTAGCTAGATGAAACACTTGTGGTATTGTTTTATTAAATTAGAACAAGTTCTTTCTTGTTTTTTTTTTTTTATTAGGCTCTCACGTGAGGTGTTGAGTTCTAATGTCAGCACTTGTCAGATAAGTGAGAAACTAGATTCTAGTGTTAGATTTGACTAACAAGGTGGTGTAGTGATTTGGATAGAAAAAGGGAGCACTGGGGCTTTTGAGAAGTTTTTGCTTACTATTTTTTCAATGAACATATGAATTATTCTAAAATCTTTCAAGAAAGGGAGATGAGAGGAATAAGCTTAGTAATACACTTGAAGTTTTTGGAGTTGGAGGTCATTCTAAAGATTTCTTAAAAATCACTGAATCACAGAATATTCTGAATTGGAAGGGACCCACAAGGATCTCCAAGTCCAGCTCTTAAGTGAATGGGGATCAAACTCACCATGCTCTAACCAAAAACAATCAGAAAATATTCATTAACATATGATTTGAGTAAAATCAGTTCTTCCAGATAGCTTAACAAGTGGGTTGTTTTAGGGTATTTTTGTTCAGTTTAGTTCTTTCCCCTCTGTACTAATCCTTCAAGTATTCTGTTTTTGTAGTAAAGTCATTTACAAGTTTGTTACGGCATCATAGGGAACTTAACCCCCAAATCTTTAAGACAGCTATAGATATTATTTCTTTATTTGAAAAAAAAAAAAAGCAACAAAAAGCAAATAAACCACAGTTCTTGACTACACATTTCTTAAGGCCTTTCTTAAATACCAGAGTTTAGAGGATTACTCTTGAAATCTGAGTTAAGGTAGTTACCTTGCTTGGACCAAAAGGCATATGAGGCTGGAATGTTCATATAGTAGTCATTGGGCATAGCTTACTCACAGTGCAGGGCACTTCAGCTCTTGGATCACCTGATCTGAAAACAAGGTAGTGTTTCCTTACAGTAACATTGTCTGCATTTGTATCAAGGGTTCTGCATCTTGGGTGATAAACTGATCCAGGTAGGGTGATGTAGTTCTGATAAGATTGTGTAAGCTGTGTTATAAAACTGATGTTGACTTTAATAATGATTTCATCTCTTATGTTTATAATGCTTTTATGTTGCTGTGAAATCATGCTGAATGGCATTTACATTTAAATAGGCAAGGCATGTAGCATGGATTTTAAAGTTACCTTTTCTTTAATGTGTAGCTGCAAACTGACTGCATCTTTTTTTTTTTTCCATTTGACAGAATACTGTGGGAGAATGGCAGATGGTTTTCTATATTGCTGCCTCTATTAATCTATTTGGAGCAATTTTCTTTGCATTATTTGCAAGTGGAGAAGTTCAGGACTGGGCAGTCAGTGGATATCACTTGAATTGAAACTGAAGGAGATGTTGAAATACCAAAGCTGTGCTGAGTCCCGTTGTGCTTAGAACTGTGTGACTGGAAAAGTGCCTTCCCTGCTGATGCCTAGGAGTCTTCAGAGCTATTCAGTTAAACTACTTTATCTCTGCATCTTTTGTACTGAAAATAATCTGGCAAATTGTGTTCTATTTCCTAACAAGAAACTACTTGGATTAACTATAGAAATTTTATACTAGAACTTGATACCAAATACATGATCAGAGACATTTTAAATCCATGTGCTAGGCTCTAATACTTTCCAGTTTTTAATTAATATTTTCTGTATTAGTGTGTAGGCAGATGTTTACTGATACTAAAATGAGAGGAAAAAGTAAAGTGATTTTTTAGCACTATAAGGAGGAATGACATGCAAAGAATTGTACCCAAAAAAGTGTTTTGATTTCCATTATGAAACTGATAGTTTTTTGATGTTTAAAAAATTGTAGAGCAACTCTAGTTTCATACAATCTTTTATAGTGCTTTTTATTTTGTCATTGTTTTAACAATGGCTAAAAAATGCATGTGATTTACTTGTAATTTATGCACAAGTTCTGAATATATAAACATTCCCTGTTTCATTAATACAGTTTCACAGCAAAGAAGTAAATGTAGCGTTGGAACTGAGAGAGTGAACCAGTGTCCTCTGTAGTGCAGGTTTTCAAATAAGCCTTATTTTTATTTCTTTCTGCAAAGAAGAAGCAGTGCAGCTCAGTGGTTTAAATCTAGGCAGTGTACAAGAGTAAACTAGAAGTAGATTATCTTCATTATTACCTTAAAATAACTCTAAGTTTGGCAATTAATTTTTTTGTCCCTTTAAATCAATGCAGTGGAATTCTTTCCTCTTGCATGTAGATGGGTTTGTCATCTTGTTGGTGTAAATGAAATAAGGCCAGTGTAGCAAATAATGAGGAAATCAGTTCTTAACAGCCTTGTTTGTTAGATAAAATTTGAGTATAAAAGAACTAGTGCAATAACCTGGTGCTGTTACTCTCCTATCAAGATAGAATTTGACATTTGAGCATTCTTTGCACAGCACACACTTAAATGCCACATAGTAGGATTAAAAGTAAAAAGCAGTACTCTTGTTAAGAACAAATGGCTGAATAATGCTAGAGCCACAAAGCAAAGGAAAATTCCTGTGCCAAAGATTCCTGGATTGGACCAATTAGGTAAAAAGGAAAAATCATTGGGCTCTGGGTTTTTCATTTATCACCAGTCCAAAAGAAAACCCAGTACTAAAGTTGCTCCAGTGGAGCCTACCTTCCTTCATTTCTAGGAAATGGCATCTGCCTCTTCTTTTTAGCTTTAAGAGCCATTTTGATTTGGCCTTCCTTGAAGTTTCATGTTCTCTGATGATGGATTTAAACTGTGTTTAAATCTCTTTTTGTGTCTGCAGCATTTCCACAATAAAGAATGTGTTGTTCAGATTAAATTAGTACTTATTCAGTGGGAGTATGTTAAAACTATATTGTGTCTTCAGCGTTTCTACAATAAATTGATTGAATATTTACATGTGCATCTGTTGTTGAAAATTACAATCTCCCTGAGATTAGAACACCATTTTCAAAGTATGCTGAACAACAAGGTTGGTGACTGGATTAAGGAATGGTTAATGTTTTCTTGGAAAATTACCTTCCTCAGAAGGTTTTTATCTGGCTTTACAGGTAAGTATTATCTTCCACCTTACACTGTAATAAAAGTAAAAATTTCACTTTATGTAAAATGAAATTTGTACTCTTTCAGTATCTTCAGGTTAAAAAGGAGGAGGAAAATGTTTTTAAAAATAAATAATTGTATATAATTTAAATTAATATATGCCTTTGCTTTTCTAGAGATTGTCATCAGGGCAGCATATTGACAGGGTTGCAATTCCACCTGTTATGAAGTCAGAAACTTCAGCTTTCTCTGCTTTTAGTCTTTTTCCTTGAAAACTGTTCAGCTGAATATCTAAATTTTAAAATCATACTTAATGGAGTAGATTCAGTAGAAGTGTATGTAGACATTCTCTGTATCAGTTAAATGAGTCTGAACTGGATTTAGTTAAAACTGAATTTTAGACGTATCAGCAGTTAAGCCCTCCAGAAGTTTTAGGACCAGCATAATAGATTTTCTTTTCCCTTTATCTAATGCATCATTATTACTCATTTTGCATACTCTGTAACTTCTAAGGCAGCTTGGAAAGTAGCACTGAAAAAATGCTTAAATCTTTATATTATTCATGGACAACAAGCTACACTGAAGATAATATACAGCTGATTCTGATTTCATTTTTGAAAGTATCAAAATATACAGTGGGATTCTTGGTTGAGGCTTTAAACACATAACAAACAAGAATATCCAAAAAAAAACCCATTGAGTGTTATCTTTCTGTATCATGTTTGCAAAAAGGAAAAACTGTTAGAAAAAGCTGACAAAATATTTTCTGCTAATCATGATATTACTTTTATTGCATTGGCACACTACTGTTTGCATGGCTCTCTCTGAACAGATGTTCTCTTGAACAGATGAAACAGTTTCATCAGTTCAAACACATTTCTCATGTTCTGTTTTTTCAGGGGTAACAAGGGGTTTGAGCGCCTCTTTTCTCAGTTCACCTGTGTGACACAGGATCTTGACAGAAAATGACCAGGTTTTTTGTAGTGACTGTCTTCCTGAAACAATCCCATAACTGTTATTTCTTGCTGCATTTCCTTAACAGATAAGAAGTAGCAGAGTAAGAAGTTGTGCTCTCTGTTCCATGAAGAACCCTCAAATTAGGATGTCCAACTGGAATGAGGGAAGTCAGGTCAAAAACAGATTTCACCCATTTCAGTGCAGGAGTTGAACCACTGCTTTGGGAACATGTCTTAGTGTTGTCAGGTATTTTTAAGTGCTTTCTCTTCAATATCTGCTTCTGACACAATTCCGCTTAAATTTATTTTTTTTTAACATTTAGTGCAAATTCCTATCAACATCAGAAACAGAGATGGATTCGCTTCTCAGAATATCCTACAGCATGTGACATGGGTATTGCCTGAGATCTGAATCATGGTCTCTTACAGCCTGAACAAGTGCCTTCCTCATGCTTTGCAAAAGATGAAATGCCACAAAGTAATGGGTGTGGTTTTCAGTTCACTATTTCTTTGTCTAAGGGTACAAAACCATCAGTCAAGTACCTTAGAGAAGTCCAAAGTATTTGACATCCAAAAATATGAGTTAGGTAGATCTTTTGAATGCTAACCTAATTCATATAATACCTGAATAGGTATTATAGGCACCTGTGCATGATGCTTCCCCATCTACATGTTCCTCTGTAACTGGCAACAGCTGCATTTGCTGTGTGAGAGGGTCATCTTGGTTGATTTCCCAGAAGCTGAATTGTTCCTGTGATGTGTCTTTTGTCTGGTCTCTCAATCACTTATTTACTTATTTTCCAGTTTCTCCTCTTTTGATGTGTGGGAATGTTTAGTACCATGACAAACAAACTACACTTAGTTTAATGGGTTACACTGAGTTTAATGGGTTTTCCAATATTTCTAGCATTTGTCAGGAAGGAAAAATGTGGGTGAGGAAGCCTGTATATATTCCACAGATAAGTGAGACACAATTTGTATGGAAAGATAGTACCTTCTGTTAGATCATCTAGAGCTTCAGAGAAAAAAGACTTTTTTTTAAACTTCAAGCTTCCACCTTCTCATTTTGAGGTCAACCATCACAACTAAAACACTGCTACTGTGTTTTGTAAACTGTTGCAGTAAGTAGCATTTTAAGAGGGTCTCATTTCTCCTGTGCACCTGTTATCTCAAAAAGCTGAGTGCCTTCTCTTAATTTATGTTGTTTAAGATCAATCAAATCACATCAAATGTATCAAAGCAATTAACAGTTGTAGGTTGGCCAAATCCTTCTGTGAGACCTGTCAGTAAAAATGCAATCTCCATTAACACAAGCCCAAATTATTTATATCTCCATTATAATGGCCCGAATTGTTATCCTGAGGAAGTTATGTCTACCTTGAAGCTAAGGAAATGTGACATAATGTGACATGAATGATTTGGTATTAATGCATTTTGCTGTTTCTGTGCCCATGGGGAAGAAATCACCACACTAGCATATTCATCAACAGCAAAGTAGAAAATCCTGAAAGTATGAAGAGGACCTCATGTGGCCTCCTATTTGGTCTCTTATATGAAGAAATATAAGCCTTTTTTTTCCTAAAACTCATTTATTTAACTAATCAGAACATGATAGAGCCAACTTAAAGTTTTGTTGATTTGCCCTCATGCTTCACTCATACTACTGCTATTAATATTTCTACAATTCTGTATCTACTTGACTATATGTTTATAGTGCTCAAATATAGTTTTAAAAATACTTCATTTATTTAGAATTTATATGATGTATATAGTCTGTTGCAGAAGTAATTCTTGCCATGTTAAATGTTAGAGGAAAACAATTAGTTATCTTTATTTTAATTTCTTGCCCTTCACCCAGCAGAGTTACCTGAAGCCCCCAGGACCTGTTTTATGTTAAGGTGTTAGTTATTAACATTTTGTGTGTTTCAAATAGCCAGAAAAAGAACTGCAAGAAGACAATAGCAGTTATTTAAATCCCATTGTGTAGCAAATGGCAGAGGTGGGACACACAAAGGCATGCCAGAGGATAAAATAACACTCTATTGAGTGAGACACTGGAGACCCAATTAAATTTCACTGCAACCTTTCTACTTCTCCTTTATAAAGATGTCATAATGGTGGTTGGTCCTACATTTTAAACTAAAGCTGCATCTGTGTGATTCACATCCCTGACACAGAAACCAGGGTTTTATTGTGTGTAACACCATTGATCTGACTTAACATAACACTTGGTAATTGCTAGGAACCTCCAATATACATCTGACCAGTGTAGTTCTCAAAGGAGTCATAACTCAGTCCAGTGAAAATTGCATTTCTTTGAGGAAAGTTACTTCCATGTGAAATTTTAACTGTTTGGCCTTATCAGTTCATAAGTGGTGACGTAAAAGAGTTGCATGTGTTACTTTTCCATGTCCTGTGTAAGCTCCGAACTGTGGAATTGACTTTCATTTCTCTGCAGTACACTAACTAAGATGGCATGTTGTTAGAATTCAGGCCTGGATCAGACACAAAACATGAGAGCTCAGCTAGCAGAATAGTTAAAGAAGGTTCAGGAATTGGTGTACATTTTCAAGTGAATACAGATTAACTTCAGAACAAGGGTAACTTTGCTTTTATTGCAGCATAACCTGTACCAGGTTGCAACATACTGCAAGTGATAGTGCCTTGGAGCTGCCCAAAGCATAACAATGGAAAGTGTGGCTTATTATGCCAAAATTCTGTTTGCCTTTCCCTTTCTTCAAAGGATATATTTCCTATAGAATAGAGTGAAAAGTGGTTATAGGCTTTGATAATGTGTTCATGGAAGGAAATTTCATTTTTAAAAATTCTTAAAATCTTGTTTTATAGTATACAGAAGTTTCCATATGGCTGCTTCACAGTAGAAAATGAATATATATTTTTTTCTGGTCTTTTCCTAAATTAAATTCCATTGTATTTATTTAATAAGCTTAGCTCAGACATATTGTCATGTTTTCTGATGGAAAACATGGTTCTTTTGATATTTCTACCTACCTCTTCTTCTGAAGTATTCTAACAGTAAATGACTAATCTTCTATTTCCAAATCATCTTACTAGATGAGAAAAGTAGATAAGCAGACAGCAGGTTTGTTTGGTTTTGATTGGGGGATAGGGAGAAAAAACCTCAACTATTTTTCTCCCACTCCTTTTTCCCTGACCATCTGGGCTTCATGGAGAACAAGAATGCCTTCTGTATTTACAAGTTTAAACAATCTCTGCTGATGGGGGGGGTGGGGGGGGGGGGAAAGAGTTTTTTGTATATTTGTTTGAGGGATATTAAGCAAGATTCCTGCCTGAAGGACTTTTTAAAATATCTGTAACTAGATAACTGGTTCAGCTGTTAAGTTGAACTATAAGTTTGAATGGCTATAGAAAGGCTTAATTTCTTGTCTGGAATGTTTTTTCTTTTATATTTAGAGATGAGCATATTTTGGAATTTGCTTCCAATGTAGTTATTTACATTGATATTTTCTGCTGGGAAAATAGCTTATTTTTAAGCTTAAAAGTCCTTTTGTGGAGAGAATGGAAATCAAGATATTTGACTATGTTAATACATAGTTGGTGGAATTGCTAAGCACCTCTGCATGGTTTTGAAAGTAAACTGTTGAATACAAGATACACATAGCAGTAGAGAAGGATCACATTGTGGAAGCATATTCACACGGGGATGGTGGTGTTAATTTAACACCTCTCTGCAGAGTCATGTTGATGCCAGTGTACTTAAGGCAGCTATTGACAGCTAAGCATCTGCTAAGTTATTTTGCTGTAGTATGAGGTAAAGTCAGATTTGCAAAGGAAATGGCAAGTGGCAAAGCTATGCTGTCATACATAAACTGGTAACGTGCATGTTGCCAGCAAAAGAACCCACAGTTCTCTGTCTCAGGCATT